TTCTAAAGGTTCTTCAGCAAACTGAAATGGTGAAAATACCAAAGAAATTGCTCGTCAGAAATTCCTTCTGACATTCTCATTTTCCAGAATAGGGGCATTCTCACTTTGAAGATACATGTTAGGCTGTGGCAGTTGCAAAGCTTTGCTTTATAAAAATAATTTTACAGCACGCATTTTATGTCTTTTGTTTCAGTGAAAACCAACTTTTACATTGCTTAATAATCCCTTCTGGATTTGGCAGATGATATTTAATTAGATATTTGGAGCATTTGCTAGAAAAGGAAAAGTCAGCCTACTAGTGAGATGGAGAGGCATGAACTCTCTCCTGCAATATATTTGCAGCTTTAAGGGCTTTTATTGGAGAGAAATCCTATGTGCAATACATTAATGCCTGGTATTATTCCATCAGTTCAATTTAACTCACATATTAGAAAACCATACTTTGGCTTCATTATATTCTATGCTACGTAATCCACCTTTTTCAGTAAATCTGCTTCTGTCTACAGCACCCTCCCAAGCTAAAAGTATTCCAGATAGCTGATGATTAGCAGTATTTTAGTCTGTGAAATACCCTTTTCCATTACTCCTTTTTTTATCCTTCTTACAGTCAAACCTGTGGTTCAATCACCCTACCAGGAGGAAAAAAAAGAGAAAATGGAGGAGAGATGGCCTTTTGGCTTAGGTGAGGTGAAACAGCTGTTTCACAAAGAAATGCAGTTGTTTATTTGCTGCCAAGACACCATATGCCAATTGCTTGACTTAGGGTAAAATGGAAGAAGGAATCAGTGAGAGCCTGCAGTGCAGATTTCAGAGGTGTTTTTGTTCTTCTCGCTGCTCTCTCTTTATCTTTTCTCCTGACGGGGCTTTCTCCTTCATGCTACGACAAATTTTTGGCACTGGTTTTGAATACAGATGCAGACAAGTCCTCGTGCAATTGTAAGCCCCTGGGTTTCTGGGTAATAGTTTTGGGCACTGCTTAACTTCACACTGTGCTTTGCAGGTGACTTCAGCTTCCTGACTGAACGTGTTCCCAGGTTAATTCTGAAGACGTGCAGGGACTGCTTTGTGTTTTGCTGGCCAGACTCTGCACGTTTGCGTGTGTCCCTCAGGTTGCTGCAATCGTAATTCTTGTGCTGTTTTATTACAAAGAGGCAGAAAGAATGAAATAGCTCACAGAACAGACATAGCATGTGTATGTCCATATGTATATGTGTATATGGACAGGTAACAGATTATATTCTCAGTCCTGATACAGCGAAAGCAACGCCTAAATTCTCATCTTCTAGACATTATTCTTTGGTCTGTCTGAGGAAAATAAGCAATTTTCTCTTGGCTTTCATCCTTCTCTTGCATATTTACTTTGGAGGCTTTAGCAGTGTTAGATTAGCACATTTATACTTTTGCTCTACCTGTACAAATTTCAGATGGATTTTTGCTCTCACTGCTTTTTCTCTGTTGTACTCTGTAGTACCTCCTTTTGTCTTTACTTTTATGCAGTATAAAATTGGTGGCATGAATATTGTGAAGGGCTGAAGGACAAAGTTGACCCAAGTATGGGCAATTCAGATGAATATTAACAAGTGTGAACTCAAATGATTAAAGAACTTTAGACTAAAAATTGTTTTTCCAGACTGAGAATTATTGCTGAGTGGAGAAACTTCCACTGCCCGTTACTTTCAAAACAAACAAACAACAAAGATCTCCCCCCCCCCCAAAAAAAAAAAATCTGGAGATATTTGTGTATTATTCACCAAGTTAAGGACATCTTATAAAATGTCTTCTTATAAATGACGGGGAATATTCAACAGGCAAGAATGATCTATTCATGTGCAGAATGAGAGCATATTAAGGAAATATTAGTTACAGATTTTGAGTTTATAAATTCAGAATTCTTCTAACTGGTAATTTTTCAGTTTCTAAAGTAATAGTCAAGAAAACAGGACCTGTTGTAGATGCAGCATTGGCCTAGTAAAAAAATTGTTTGTTGCATGTATTTACAGAAATATTTCCAGTTCTAAGTGCGTGGTAAAATTTGATATTTTACAAACTTTTTTTTTATTTAATGACAGAAAAATAGATCTTTGAAGTTTGTCTTGGTATTTATTCTGTTTTACATTAAATTACCAGAAGTGCTGTGGGATTTTACTCATGATTTAAAATGCACTGGTTGAAAGTTGGCATATAAATTGAAGGTATGTTATAAGACAGTACACAAGGGATGGCAAATTTAGTACCTTTAGAAGGTGAAACATTCTGTTCACTTAATTGGTTGAGGAAGGATAAGTTAGAAAAATGAGTCTAGTAAATCAGAAGTGAATTTTAGTGCAAGTGTCCATCATAAATAAGCAAGAGTAAGCCACATTTGGGGTTTTAAAGGATTTTCACCTGCATTTTCGATCTCCATTTAATTGATTCATAAATCAATTAATTACTGTCACAAGACCTGAGGGCAGCAGGAAATTGGGTTCAAATTAAAAAGAAAAGGAGGCAATTTGTTTTAAGATTGAAAGTTGAATGTTCAATCGAAGTTTAATCAGAAGTGACCCATTATTTGAAAAGTGGAACATCAGTGTCTTTCTAATTTCACAGAATGCTTCATTAAATGAATATTGAAAAGACCAGGTTAGCTGATCATTCCAAAAGGAAGATAAGAAAAAGAGGGTTTGGAAATCTACTTCCAAATACATGTGATGCTTGTTCATTTCTCTTATGAAAAGCTCATAGAGGAACCAAATGATTGCATTGGGAATTCAAGGATTATTGGGGTGATCCTTTCAGGATTGTAAAGGTTGTGTGGTGAAAACACAACAGAAGAGCAAATATTCCTTATCCATTTGGATAGCTGTGAGCTTAAAGAAAAAAATACAGAAGGCAGTAAGCATTGAGGAGAAAAATTTCAAAAGCGTGACTGGAAATTGGGCCTCCTAAATTTTAGGATGTCTCACAGTGGTCTGACCTTGAAACAGTTTTTCTATAATTTGATGTCATTGTCACGGCATTCAGCTGCACAGTGCAAGGAGGACTCTGCCCACTGTACAAACTGAGAGGGACACAAATGCCTAGCTAAGAGTGAAGGCAGATGATTTGTGTTTAGGAAGTGAGTGCGGCAGAGCATGGGACAACAACTGCAGCTGTAACTCCTACTGTGGTTGGAGAGCATAAAGGAATAATATAGTTTGTATTAATGTTCTTTGGATTAGCATTTCTTTTTCTTAGTGCACATTTACTAGAAATTTGCTTATCAAATTGCTGTTAAAAAACCAAAACCCAACACTCACGTGTTATAGTGAGCTTGCTGAAAAGAAAAATGAGAAGTTTGATGGAATTTCTCACTGTTGGAAAGTGTTGCTCTTGCTGTTAAATGCTGAGAGATACTCTTGGAACATCATCTGGACTGCTTTAAACATTTCCCTTTGTAAGTGCAGAGCAAGATTATTTCAAATAGTGATCCTTTTCAAGATCTTACCACTCAGGGTCTGGATTCCTTCATGAGCAAACTGACTTGCCACCTGTGATGCCTGGATGTGTTTTGTTTTTTATTTACATTGTGTTGCTTCAAAAGACAGAGGGCAGAAGCAAAGGCTGCTGTTTTACCTGGCCCAGCTGCTGTAATTTTGACTTGCCTGGGAGGTGTGCCTGGAGAAGAGTGGGAGAAAAACCAGCAAAGGACTATCTCAGTGTTTGACAGACAGGGAATCCACCAAGTTTTAGATTCTGGAGAAGGAATATTTGTCCAGATGGAACAATAATCTTATCTGGTGTAGCAAATCTAAATCATCAATCATTCCCTTCACTGACTCTCAGTAAGGTACTCTAGAGTGAATATAAATAATGTGGTTCTTTCTGAGTTATTGATTGCAATTATGTGAATGATGATGAACAGCATTAGCACCACCGCAGCAGAATGATGGTGTTCCTGAATGGACCCCCAGTCAGATGATGTGGCTTTGTAGACTCCTGTGCAAACTTAAAACAAAGATGAATGGGTGTTATGAGTTAATCTTGAAGTATGTATTTTATTTTTGTAATAAATTACTTTGTTCATCTTCTCCCTGAGATATATATAAAGCTTTCTGGTTTCCTGAAGGGAGGAATGACTTCATTTATTTTTCTGATACTTCTGTGACAACACACAGATGCATCATAAACACAAAAAAATTTATATGGTTCAATTTTTTTTTTTTTTCTTAAGAAAGTGATAGGAATTTACTACCAGAAATAATCTCCTAGCAACATGGAAATTCTGGTATGCTATTGATCGTGGATGCATTAATTTGTAAAAAAATTAACAAGAAAACCTACCAGCATTGTAATGTAATGTAATTTTAGGCATCTGGGCACCTTTGAGTGTTGGAGTTTTATTTTCTATTGTTTTGCTTTTTTTCACTCCACTCCTTGGTATTAAGTTTAGTTTTTCCACGTGATAGCAATTTTGCAACCTCACTTCTTCCTTTCTTACAGTACAAGAAGAGATTGTACAAATGATGTATTTAGATTTCCTGATGCTAAAAGAGTGGTCAACCTAAAGTATACAGTTTTAGGGAAGTGACAAAAATCCCTTGCTATGTGGATGATATTACTGTCTAGAGAAGTAGGATATTTGCAGAAGATAAAAAAGTGTTCTTTGATTATTATGGTTACATTTCTTTTGAAGACTTAAATCATAACATATTTAATAAAATGTCTGATTGCTGCTTAGCTGAGAATGAAAGCTGCGTGGATATTTTCTTCTCCCTGTAGGCAAAATTTTTAGCTGCTTTGGAAGCATAATAACAGAGACAACTACCATTCCAGAAATAAAGTCGTAAGACTTAGGGCCTTTTTTGCCTTTTTTTGGGAACTTGGAATCAGTTAATTAGATCAGTGAAATAAGTTTTTCATAATTGTCAAAACTTAAGAACAATTTGAAGGTTTTTTCAATCTCTCAACAAAATCCAATAAGCATTTGAAGGAGGAAATCAGTGTGGGATCCTAAAAGACTTCTTACTTCTTTCTCACAGAATTCTAGCTTTCTCTCCGAAGCTCTTTTTCCCGTACATGCAACAAAAACTGAAGAGCTGGATCCCTCCTTCAGTCTGCACGAGACCATCGCGAAGGTAAGAGAAGTGGAGATCTCACCTTTACACACTTTCCTTCAGAAGGCCAAATTTTTGAACTTGTGAACAATTTTGAAAGGTAGCCTTTTATTTTTTTCCCTGTGAATAGTTTGAATGTAGTTAAAAGTTGTGGAGGTTTTTTTATTTTTCACTGAGATCCACCTTTGGAATATTCTTTGGCATATTACACGGGCAGGAACTTCACTTTATGAGCTGTCGCCGTGGTTTTGGCATGGGAGGAAGGGGTGGCCAACCTGTGATTCTGGAGGGTGCTCTACAGAGGAGATGCTCCCGAAGTTAACGTGTTCTGACTCCCCTCTCATTGCTCCAATATAATACTCCCTCCATGTGATTTATCAGTACAATCAAAATTACTCCTTGCTCTGAAGTGCCACTTCTTCTGTCAACTCCACAAGCCCTATTTCTAAAAAGGGACATGACTACAAAGGAGCCCAACTTAACATAGACTTCTTATAATTTGGTTTTTCATAAGCCAGAGTGATGTAGGCCACACGGATTTCTTTCCTTATTTGAAGCTGCTACTTTTGGAAACGCAGCTGCTGTTGAAACATTTCTTCTGGTAACAGCAGAGATCAGCCATGTGAAAATTTAGCATGTGGGTGGCTCAGCATCCATGGCAAAATAAACAGGGACTGATCTTGGGGTTGTGTCTTTTGAGGTTTTTTTAAACTATTAGCTGTTAGTTTCCTTGGTTATTAAAAAAAACCTCCAACCAACAGACAAAACAAACAAAAAAAACCCACACCCACAAAAAATCACATAATCCTAGACATGGTTTTGAAGCTTGTCAGAGTTTAACAGTTAACGAACAACCGCCAGACAAAAGTCTTCTCTGAAGCCCTTTCAATGGAACTGATGTTTTTTAAACCATCCTTGATGCCAAAGAGGCTGAAAAGATTCACCAAACCTGTTCCCAAAGCGTGAGGGAAATAGTTCTATCGTTATTTACTCCATACTTAATTTGTGATTTTCTAAACAGTGTGTGATCTGAAAAATCTGTAATTTGGTATTTGCTCTATAATATTGATTAACACAGAAAAATATTTATTAGATAGTTGACTTCAAGGATTTTGATCCTATTTAAATAAACACAAAAATATTTTAAATAGGGTCATTGATAAAACTTGATGAAGATTGCCCTAGGATATAACTGTATTTCAATGTTACTTTTCAGATGAATAGTACATACAACAGTGGAGTGAAAACCTCAGCATTTAAAGGAACTGTTATAATTTAATTAGTTAACTAAGCACCCTTAATGCTATTCCTTAGTCTAAAATCTTCATAATTTCATTGCGGTACTCTGAACAATGAGACCAAATTAAATCTCTAGCTTTATAATAAAATACTCATATTTGAAAAAAAAAAAAAAAAAACCAGTGAGAAATTAGCTTGTAGTTAGAATTTCCACTCCTCAGCTGGAAAACAGTGCTCCTCAACAAGTACTTACCAAATGATTGCATGTATGCCCCATTGGAATTGCAAGTAAAACAGATTTCATGCCTGCTTCAGAAACTTGAGCTTTAAATTTCAAAACACTTTTCACACAAAACTGTTTATGTTCAAAGAAATTAAATATTCAAATATAATAAATTCAACATTTGATAATTTTATTTGGCTTTTTTCCTCAGAAATGGTTTATGAAAATATTTTAAACTGTAACTTTTTATTCTTATTTTTCGCTGCATATCACTCACAGTCTGCTTTGCTTGTATGGCCACTCAAGCTGGTGGAAAAGAACTCGTGTTGGTTTGGGCAGGAAATTGAGGCCCTTCATCTCACTGTTGGAAATAGGGCTTAATGATTTCTTTTCTTTTGACATGTCGATGGCTTGATACTGAGTAACAATGTAAACATTTCAACATAATTTTTTAGATGAGGTTTGGTGTAAAAACGAATAATCAGCTAATTGTGGCTTGTGCTCAAGTGGTTACCTTAATTTCATGAGCACTTTGAAAAGGAGGAGATTTCTGAATGTGGCAGAAAAAAATTAATGAGAAATGTGCAGCTGTTAAGTAAATCTGTAATCTGACTGCTTAGAATACCTAATTTGTCAGGACAATTGTCAGAACAATTTATCTTAAAATCTTGGCGCTTTAAAGGTGAAATCAGGGTGAATTGCTGTGAGAACCAGGCTGATCTGAAACATTCAAAGGGAGAGAAATCTGTAGGTTTCCTACAGTGGTGACGAACCGAGATATTCATTACAGAATTGTGTTGCAGTGCAAAATTTAGTGGTATCTTAAGTGAGATTTGCAGACCTTGTAATTTCAAATGGGTTTCGTAATGCATATATTAAGTATTTATATGTGTTCCTGTGTGGCAGAGAAGGGATTTTCCCATCTGACCAGAAGTCAGATAAAAGCCCATTATTATCAAATGCGTACTCAGAAAATTATGTGCTATTTTTCAATAAATTCCATCAGTGTTACTCAGCACCGTGTTTCATGGTAATCAGTCAATTGGAGTGATTAACGAGTTTGAAAAATACTTTTGTGTTAGGAGGTGTGCTCGCTGGAGTAGCCTCATAAGACTGGGATTATGCAGTTCCAAAAGCCTGAATGGCAGACCTCCAACACGGAATGCCGCTGGAGCCATTTACCCAGGATCAGCCATGGAAAAATATCTTATTGACTTTTATTTTGGCAGGCTCCAAAGAATTGAAAGGCATGCCAGAAGTGACATAATTGGTTTTATGATGAGTTATGGGTGCTGACAGATAACTCTTGAGAAAATTATTACCGAACCTGAATATTCAACACTCTAATTATGAAGCTCTTAGTAGAGCTAACTACTGTAATGTAATAACTAACTACCGTAATGCAATTAACTTCTAAACACTAAACAAAAGAGTAAGAGGGAGAAGTGTTTCCATTTCTGGGGGAAATACATTTTTTTTTTTGTGTGTGTAACATACTGTGATATTTCAATTTTTTAAAAATATAAACACTTCCAAGAAGATGAGAGGCAGATAGTCTTCCTGAAGCAAATGGAATGTAAAGGTGCAAGTGGAATGAGAAGAATGTTGGACTGTTTGTAAATGAAATTTGCGTTTTGACCACAAATAAGGTTCTGCACAAGAATGTTGACTCGAGGCATCATCTAACAGGATCATACTGTTCTATTCCTTTGAAGCATGGGAGGGATATATATTCCCATTTACCCATTGTCCACTCCCATTAATTCTCTAATATAGGGAACACTCAGTCATCCTGGAAATGCAGTGATATTCATAACTTTGGTTGTTCTTTTCTCTGTAATCTCCCTAAAAATGAAGATCTGTGGTTTGGTGCCTGCTACCTCTGCTAAATATTTATATCTTCTTGCATGGTATCTGCAAATGGGCTCTTTTTTTTTTTTTTTTTTTTTGTTATGCCAAGATAATACAACATATCTGAATTAATGAAAAAGTATCAAATTCTTACAATCCCAAAGATGGACAGTGCAGATTCTGAATCAGTAGAATAATAATGTATATGGGGCATCTGTGTTACAGAGTTTTACCAGAGACATTTCTAACAGCATATTATTCCTGGCATAGCTGTTTCAGCAGAGTACATTCACATTCCTGGGTTGTTCCTACTACATCATGGCCTTCTGGCAATCAGATTGTTCTTGGAAAAGCTCTGAGGCATTGTGCTTGGGCGTGCCAGTGGCCTTTGCATGGAGAAATCTGCATTTCCATTGACGTATCTTCTCTTTTCATTTAAAAATTTCCTCTGCACAGAGCCGGAGGATTTGCCGGAATTGTTTAAGATTTCTGAACAGCAGAGACACGTTATTACTCCAGTCAGAGTTACAGCACTTAAAGTGTTAAAGAGCTTGTGTGGTGGGTGCAGAACTAATCTGAAATGCCCAGCAAACAGAAGTCTGATGCACATGAATATATCACATATCCAAGCCAAGCCCAGAAAACCCTTTGTCCTTGCAAGGCCCAGAGAGATACGTGGCAGCCTTCCCCCCCATCACTGTGTGTTGTGCTATTTGAAAATTTTCGCTGTATGCCATGATTTCCATCATGAAAATGTGACACACTGGAGTGTCAATTTTCACAGGTGATTTCTCCAGTTAGCTTTCTTCAGTAATGCATTCCCTTCAATGTAATTTTTAAAAGTCCTCTCTTCAGTCACGTATGCCAGGCTTTCCCATCATTTCTCAGTCTCTTCATCATCAAGCCTCTTCTGCACAGACCAGCAGAACTCTCATGTCTTTTTAAAGATGAATTATGTTATGATTTTGTACTTTCAAAACAGATTATTCAAGCTTCCAGCCAACAAAGGGGAATGTGGACCAGGGGTAGGTGACAGAGATGCTGACTGAGGTTAACATAGCAGAAGCACAGTTGTCAGTGTATGAAGTGAGGGCCAAGCTGGGGGGCCTGATCCATATCCATATTTGAGGCAGTCAACTGTTGATACTTAATGTTTAAATGTGGAGTTTGACCTTGTTGTGCAGATACCAGAATTGTCTGTAGTGGTACTATTTGGATGCTCTGTCACACCTAAAAGCACCTGTACAGGTTTTTGAGGTTTTTTGGGGCTGAGAAATTGCAGGGTGACTTGGGACATCTTTTAGTTTTTCTCTTTGCCCTCCCACAGCTGGCAGCATTTCATGGTGTTTCAGCAGCTCTGATCTGCCCTAACATGATGTATCAGCATAATGCACCAATTGCCATGGTCACTTCCTAACTTAAATTACTTGTTTTGCTTTATTGACCAACATCTCATATACTGGTTCTGACCATCTCACTGGAATTTATGTTGTGATGGTATTTGAGAGATACTCAAAGCACAACTGTATTGTCTGTGGTGACACTCTGACTGAATTTGCACAACACTTGTCCAGATTTTTCTGCAAAGGAACACAGGCAAACATAATTCACAGAAGTGGTTTGATTTAGCACATATACTCTTAAGCACACAAGTGAGACTTTTTGTTTTACCTTTAGCCTTCTTGCATGAAAGAACATATAATCCAGT